AAATTTAACGAAATATTGATTCAAATGTTGCTACACTGTGATTGGTGTACGGAAATACATGAAATCACCTGAGCTTTGCCCACTTATGAAGTAGTTGCTTAGGAAAATGTGTTTTTAGGGCCTTTAACTAACAAATGTGCAATTAATGAAATCCCTTTGATCCCCTTAAGGGTCTGGGGGCCTGGGTTGTAGTGTCACTCATGAGAATCCTCCAAACTGGAGATGACGTGCTGCTTTTGGATCTGTTACATGCTCCTCTACAGGCTGAGAAAATTCACAAAAACTATCAAGATGTGCATTATGTCATTGAGCTAAATCAAGGTTGTTTGTTTTTTGTGGAGGTGTTTGTGGAAGATTTTTACCCCTTAAGTATTATTTTATGAGCTTATTTCAGGTCAACTGTACAATCTAAATAAGTAGTAAAAGTAACTAGTAACTAACTGAGGTGGAGTGAAAAATAGTACTGAAACAACAAATTGATTAAAAGTAGAGTTGATTAACACCAAAATGAATCAACATTTTTGACAATCCATTAATCATTTAAGTCATTTGCCAAGCAAAAACACCAAACATCTCTGGTTCCAGCTCCCTGTCGGTTTGTAAAACAGAAGCAATTTGAAGACATCACTTTGGAGTTTAGGAAATTGTGATGGACATAGAAACTGAAATAATTGATAGATAATGAAAATCATCATTGCTCCCAGCATTAGTAAAAGAGTTAATTTACTTCTGAAATGTAGTGAGTAAAATTTGAATGTACCTGTACCTCAACGTAGTAAAGCCCAGTACTTCAGTAGATGTACTCAGTCACTTCCCACCTCTGAAAGTGAGAGTTGTCGTGCAGAAAAGGTTAAACCGACTGTACACACAATGCAGCCCCTCCACTTAATTACAGCAGAACCAGAGGAGACAGGGAGCATGTTGAGAATGAGCTTAATTAATGTAGCAGTAAAAAGTGGCCCTCCCTCTCCGTGTCCATTCTGCTGTTCAGTATTAGTTCCACATCAGCGCTCTCAAAGCCAGGAACAAATAGTGACTCTAATGATGGACATACAACCCCCCCCCCTCTATCCTCCTCACACAACCCCTCAGCTGGTCTCGGGTCACTGCCCCAACCTTTCCCCCCCCTCCCCCCACCCGCTCCCCAGGGACGGCAGAGCGGGGGAGGCAACCAGTTAGGCAACCATGTTCACCCCATCAGCTCAGAGAGAGCAGAAGACAACCTTGCATACTGACTTCATTAGCACTGACAAGTTTTGGGGAGATGGTTGGGGGGGCTGCTCAGTTTAGAAGACTTCAGAAACAGAAGAGAGAAGCCTCACGGGGGAGTGGAGGGAGACAGCAGCTGCAGAAATGTTGTGACGCAATCCCGGATCATCGCTGTGCCCAACGTGTTTACTGTGGTGTACTTCTGAGTCCTTATTTCAGAGCTGAGGGGCATTCTGCTTCCTGTCTGGATGCTACACATTTGCAATTACTATAAAAAGATTTCTGACGTTATTATCCTAAACATAAAATATACACACAAATATTGATTGTGATATAGATTTTAGGGTGTGTTGCCCAGCCCAGCAACTTCACTGTTACTTATATCCAAACATACAAGTTTACTTTTTATGTTATACACATTGTTAATCCTCAGTTTGGAGCCCACTCCAAAAGATCTTGAATAACTCTTTAGAGGTAAAATGAAGGTTTTCTGGCAGCAAACAAATTATTTGGTGTCATTGTGAGACAAAGTGATGTGCAACATGAGGATAATCTTGCCGGCAAGATGAGATAAATCCATTTCAAGAGTTTTCTTGACATGGACTCTATATCAAGGCAGACATGCTGCACACTGGTTGTAAAAGAAATGCCACTTTAATCTAGAAAAGGCTTTAAAAGTCTGCTGTCTTAAGAAACAGGTGAAGTGATGTCGCCACAGTTGTAAATGTCTTTAAAAACAAGATTATAGGATTCAGTAGTTGACTACAATGCTGTTACCTTCAGTGAAAAAAAGCCTAGAAAACCAATGTACTGTAGTTCAAAATAATGTGGGAGATACAAATAAAATTCTTCATCAGTGTATATCACAATATTGTGAAATAGTAATTTAATTTTTATTTTTATTTTCTGAAAATCAATTGAGAAACTGTTGGATGGATAAAATAACTGGACAGGAATCTCTGTTTGTGTCTAATCCTGCAAATGATATACCTCACAAATCATAGTCCTCAACACAGTGATGCAAAAATCTGAGAAATATTCACTATTGATTTGAATGATTGATTTGCCCACAGTGGCCGTGATGCCAACAGTGTGGCATCTCTGATGTTTGACAAATTTATATTGTCTCATGTTGTCATTAACTACTCTTGAACTTTTCCCAGAAACGTTACAAAATGTAGAAAGCATCAACAGGAGAGTCGTAAAAGCAGCAAGTGTATATAAACAATGTTGTGATCCCACCAGTTGATGCAGCCACATGTCTGAGGCAGCGAAGCAGTAAATTGGTGTATTCCGAAGCAACAAAACGAAGGGATGCTCTTGAGAGGGAATACAGTGGGACATATCGTTTTCAAAATCTAGTCTAAACAAAACAAAAGGAATATCAGATGAAATTAAGGCGTGAAAAGGTGGCGTGTATGTTTTATACCATCCAGCCACTGACATAAAGGACATAAATATTGTATGCAAAGAGAAAAATCCTCCGTTTGATGTCTTGAGAGCAAAGACAGTGGGAGAGAAAGGGAGGGGAAGCAGGAGGAGCTGCTCTTTGACGGATTATTATACTAAAGGGAGAGGAGGATCACCCAAACACTCCTAACCTCTGTAACAGTAATGGTCTCCACCTATCAGTGACAGGAACATTACAACCTGAGGAGCCACTTGCACTTGACAAAGTATAACTTGGAGGACCAAATCCCCAGGCTGAAAAACAAACAAGGAACCATGAAGGCATCAGACACTGCAAACCTACCACAGGCAGGGCTGATGAAAAGCTCATTAAAAGGCTTTTAGTTACAGCAACTTTTCAGTTGAGTTGCTCATGCTTGTTGGAGTGCCGTCTAAAACTTGGAAGTGAACTTCCTCACTTTCACAAAAGCAAGGTTATCTTAGAGCTCTGCTGTTCTTGGCACAATCAGGAGGATTCATGGTTTTGCTTTGAACTTGTATGTCTTTGTTTGAAATTCTGTGTTAAAGCATTCTTATATAAGATACTACGGCCACCCCTTTGGAGAGAATCACTCAACTTTGTAGACCTTTGAAAGCCAAAATGCTTCATATCTTACTCTACAAACACACAGCTGTCTCTTCGTCGAATAACAATGAAACTGCTGCCACAACCATTTGATGACACTTCAAGCCACTCGCCACACAAATTAAAAAATCTGTTTACATATTTTTAACTTCACTCTCTCATCTTAATTTCATATGAAAAAAAAAACAACTCTTGGATAGTCAACTAACTAGATTTTTATAAGCTAAAAAACTGAGAATATATCACCTAACTCCTTCCTGCTGAAGACAACTGTGAGATGTGGTGAAAAGTTCTACAAAAAGCTATTAAATGGACCTTGGGTCTTCTTGTCCCACTGCTGTTTCCAAAGGCAAGACTGGACATTCACATTAATGGTTTTGCAGAAAACCCCATGTTGAAGTCCATGTTGTCTGCAATATTTTGCACATTTCAGATGAAATATTTGCTCTAAAATCAATAATGTCAGGCTCAACTATCAATTAGTAAAAAAAATATTGTTGCAGCTATGTTTTTGCAGGATAATTTGATAAATTATTCACTTTCTAGTAAAATGGGAGGCACCCCTTAAATCCCCAAGTGGACTGAATCTTTACTGAGTCTGGGGCAAATAAATGCCACCACTGGGTGAAGAAATGTGGGGTTTAAAAAAAAAAAGAGGAAGAAAAAAAAGTTCCCCTTTCATGAGGTCCTGTGTGTTTGGGAGCTGAGCTGCCTCCTCTCTCCTCGCCCCGGGGCAGGCTATCATCTCCAGTGACACCAGAGGGAGGGCAGACCTCACCCCACCTCTGCTGGGCCAGGGGATGTATGGGATGAGAGAGGTGGCTAGATGGTGGAAAGAGGGGGCTCTGCTGGCCCAGTCTCTCATGTCCAGCTTCCTCTTTGATCACCGGCCGCCGACCTCCATGTCTCCAAAACAAGGAGCCGGGGCCGAGAACATGCCACTGAGGCTGTCAGCCCTTGTTCCCTCCAAATATGAAAAAAGGGTTAATTGTATTTAACAATATGCTCTCTAACGCCTCCCCATCACCGCCACCCTCCCCTCCTTGATTAGAATTAGAATCACATCTGGCGCCATGTTCTGTCCCTCATTACTGCTGAATCTCATTACAAGCCGATCCCGTGGGAGGGACGGCGCCGGGTTTTTAAGCACACTTTTCGCTTTCTTCCTGCCTCTTGCTCATCTCATCTGCCTTGCCGCTCCTTCTCTTCTGCGTTTACATTAGCGGAAGTCCTCATCTGAGAGAATGACTGAGCACCACCACCCACCTCCCCCTCCTCCTCCCAGAGCCTGGAAATTGTTTTACACTGCCAATTAAAGTAGGTATGTTGAGTTTTTTCCAGAGAATGTATTATTCAGAGTGTATTATTTGTTGCGCTCAAAAAAGAGATGAGAAAAAAAAACCCTCACTAAAATAGGACTAGCAGAGTAAGTCCCACTTACTTTCAATACAAACTACACCAAAGGAAATATAGTCAACATAAGGAAAATGAGGGAGCTTATTTATGGTGCCCAAAAATCCTACTGAATAATAGAAACCTCCACATATAACCACATTTTAAACTTTGTTTTTGCACCCTTGAGCAAACACTGTGTCTGTTTATGAATTCATTTTAGAGGGGCGGGATAAAGAAATCTGTAAAGTTTGAGTCCAAAATGTTTTACCTCAGTAAAATATTAATCTAAAACTATGGCAAGGGGAAACTGTTTCTCTGCGCACTTTGTCGGCTACACTTGTGACGGAATAAGAGTTAGACATATAATCAAAGCCTTTTATTTGCACTTTTAACATAGTAATATAAAGTAATAAAACTGTGAACAAAACACATGAAATAAAAAATGTAAAAAATAAAATAAAAAACTGTAGCAGTGATATCTGACAAAATTGGACCCTGTGTCAGAGCGGGAAGCTCTGAAGGTCACAGGGAAGCCCTGAGGTTCCTCCAAACGGTCAGCTCTAGATCATGGGCGAGTCACAGAGCGTGCAGGGCGCCAGCAGGATCTTCTTTATCCACTCTGGATCTGTGGGGAAAACAGAAGAAAACCGAATGTAAATGTGATGGGCATTTTAAAACGTTGGTCTCATAATTGTCACTTTCCCATAAAAGTCCAGACAGCAGTCTTACTAGATTAGACCTAATAACATGTCTGAAGCACTTCTGAACTTAATGTCGTCACTCTGGAGGCTGCAGCAGCACACCGTTAAATACACAAAGCTCAAATAAATACACCCAACAGCTTCAGAAGGCTTGGTCTTCTATCTCGTAACTCATTTCTTATGCAGGAAGAAAATCATCATTCATTTTAATGAAATCATTTTAATAAAACCACCAAACACTGAATTATCATAGTTGTTGAGGAGATTCATCTCATGTCAGATCACTCAGCACACAGAAAAGAAGAAAAAATTCAATGCAAGTCCCATGACCGCAACAATGTTGGTCATTAATTAAGGTTTCAAAATAAGTTTACTTAATGCACACCTATGTTTGAAAGCCCAAAAGCCAGTATTTTTACTGATAGATGACGCCAGCAATGTTATGCATTCTGAAATGTCTGGAAAGGGTTTAATACAGTGGAAGCCAACAATAATTGCCACACATGGTTTTAAAACCAAATACTGAAAAGGGCCAAAAATCTGTAAGATGTTTTGAGAGATAGGAGCTGTGACAAGGTCCGATTTTGACAGATGCCAAAACTGCACAGACCTGTCAGTCTTTAGCTGAGATAGGGTGGAATGACCAGGAGAGCCATGCCTCAGGCGCTCAGGCAACACCGATAAAGACCTGGGATGCATGTGGCAGCCAGATGAAGCCAATCCTCAAACAATGGTAAGAGTAGTGCTCTAACCACTGCAGGCACCATGTATTCTACATTTCAGTGAAAATAATTCATCCTCATCTACAAGTTCAAGAGTATGGGCCAAAATGACCATGGAAATGACTGACCAATCAAAATCAATCAGGTTGGATCCATAAAGTTAAATGTTGTCAGTCTGAGCAAACATGGGTCTTTTACATTCACACAAGAAATTAGGTTACTCGGAAACCAGGGCTGCGTTCAACCCGGACAAATCATAACAAAGCGTTTATTTAAAAACGGAAATAGTGGTGCCGTTTTAATATGGCAGGGGTTATATACACTTTGCTTCTGATTGGCTAAGACCTGTAACACATTCACCAAACATACCTCAGAGACTGTTGCGCTTCATTCAGTTTGTATTCAGTCTGTTTAAACCCAGTGTTTCTAAAGATTAGGTAATTAGATAATTGGGTTCCTCTAATCACCTATGGTTAGGACAATGGGGCTCTTGTTTACATGACAGTTAAGAAATCAGGTTACTGCAGAAAGTCAAATATAACCCCGTTACCTCAGTGCATGCTTGAGCTGCAAAGAAGCAAACTGAATGAGGTCATACATTATTTACCCCTGCACCAGTACTTGTAATTCCCAAGCTACAGTGAAAATGGTAAGCCTGCCATTTATTTGAAAAGTTTGTATAATGAGACAGATTCCTGAGAAATAAGATAATCTTTACTTGGCGCACCTTCCCAAATGGCATCCCTGAATTACGGCTAGGTACTTGTTGATTTTACATGTTCGCTCGTAAAAAGTTCAAGTTTGCAGCGTGAGTGCAGAGTGCAACAAAAGTAACAACTTTTTTGGGACAAGACTACATTTGTAAATCTTAGCATTTATCCTGCATTTTTCTGTGAATGACGCACAACAGGAAAAAAGGCCAATCAACCAAAAAACTGAGATTACACTGAGCTTCTGATCAATGATTCACTCTTCACGCTTAGGAGGCAATCATCAATCAGACGCAGAAAAATCCCCTTTAAAACACTTTTCCAAAGAAAAAATTAAATAAAAAAATAACAATTTTCTACAGATTTTCTACAGAGGGCAGTCAGCAGCAACGAGACAGGGCTGCTACATAATCCTTGCGGACAACTGCTCCCCATCAAAGTACCTCCGCTTAAGTGCTTGTTTTGCCACCGACAGGCTGAGATTGTTATTACGAGTGTCTGGTAACATTATGGTAAGAATCCCTACAGCGATATACATTTTTAAATACCATTTCTTTTAACTAGAAACAGTCACCATATCGCTCTCGTCAAAACCTCCAGACTCCCTTGACAAAAATAGTAATTTTTCCCTTTGTTGCCTACCGCTTCTTTAAATCAGTTGGTTTGTGTTATTGTGTGACTTTGGTGTCTTTAAAAACACAAATAAAAAAAGCGATATAGTGAGATAGTATAAGTATAGACACTTGTAACAATCATGAGCATGTCAGTGGCGAAAACAAGAACTTTAGTGGACAGACACAATTTCATGCAAGGATTACATAGCAGCCCTTACTTGCAGCTGCCGACTGCAGCACGCTCGCTCAATACTGGACTGATTTTGAGAAATGTTGTCCCAATTAGTAACAGACACAAAAACGTGGGAAAGTAAGGCCCGGTTTGAAAAATACTGAAGTTACCCTTTAAGTTTTCGACTGACTCAAAATCCTGAATGTCAAGCAATGATCTGAGCTTCAGAGCGGGATGATGGCCGACGTTGAAGGTGACAGGAGGAGATGGCTGACAGAGAGTGAGACTGTGAAATGAAGGTGGAGAGAGATGCAAAGTGGCGCTTACCCTCAGGCTCTGGCAGCCTGGCGATGCTATCCAGCAGGAGGCAACGTCTGAACGTCAGCGTCTGGCAGGCCTGGTATGACAACACACACCTGGAGGAGACCGAGAGAAAGGCATTAGAGAGCTGGCTGGCAGGGACAGAGGCATGCACCCCCACACGCACACACAAAAGTAGAGCAGAAACAGCACTGAAGTACAACTGACGGCCACATATTTCCCTCTTAGTGCCCACCAGAGGCACCACGTTCGAGCTAGCGAGAAGGCAGGAGGAATGTTTGGCAGAGGATATTTATGAGACGGTGAGAGTGGTTCGTGGGTAAATATCAGAAGGTGGGAGGCTTGATTACTGCTCTGTGAAGGTAAACAAACCGTCAAAGAAGGCATTTGGCATTGAGATTCAATTCATGTCCTATCAGGCTCAAATGTGGCATCTGAACCGCGGAGCACTCTGAGGCTAAAGCTAATTTTAAAAAAATGAAATAAAAAAATAATAGATCTTCACTGGATTACATTAGATCAAGAATAATGTGCGTACCTGAGCCACATGTGACCGTTTTCACAGGTTGCTTGTTTGTGGTCGGAGAAGGGCAGCACCGCCCGACACAGGCTGCAGCGCTCCGAGAACGTCTGCTTGTTCAACTTGTTCTTGATGTGGCCAATCAGGACCTGAGAAGGATGAGACACACACAAACACACATGGACACACACAGAGAGTGTGAGTGAAGGCAAATGCAACACTGTATAACGGTAGCCGAGGAGACTGCATGAATGTGAGTTCAGTGCTGATCTCATAAAAGGGTAACATAATTTTTGTTTTGAGCTGATCTGAAACACCACTATCAGAGCTGATCAGCAGTAGCTAGTTTTTTACACAAATGTACTTCATCTTCAACTGATGTCTACAGACATTAATAAAATACTAAAATGTTTTTAGTATGAAACCCAGAGTTTCAGCTATGTTCAGTTTGCAGTGGTGGCCCACTGCTGCAAAACTGTCACCGCTGCTTCAGAATTTTATGAAACGTCATGAAGTCTCAATTACACGACGAGGGCTTTTAGCTTGACGAGACAGTGAAGACACGTCGGCGGAACGCTCTAGAATTCTTCGGCGACACCAGAGCCCTGGCAACGCATCCGAGAAAGAGGCAGGAGAAGAGACGAGTAAGGAGAAAGACAGCAAGAGAGAGGTAGATTTAAAAAGCTAAGATGGATAGATTTTACAGTTTAAAAGAACATTCACCATTAACGGTAATCTCTCTTGATATTCATAACAACTCATTATAGCTATATCGTGAAATAATGGTCCAGATAACCTAACTTCAACATTAGCAATCTCACTGGGTCTTTATTTAGCCTAAATGTTAAAGTCTAACTAAAGCTAATGTAATAACTGGGCAAAATCAGTTTACTATTGTGCGTTCTAGTTGTGCCGAAGCTTGAGTTGGAAATTTTAACTGGAACGCCCCCTTAAGTTGGATTTCCAACTCAAAAAGTCAGGAGAACCGCGACTTCATGATCCAAGATGGCTGCTCCGTGTATCAACAGTTAGTGAAAGCTGTAGTTTATACGGTTTATTAGCCGTCAGTGGACATGTTGCTACTGTGTTTAGTGTGCTTAAATATCGTGCAATTCATTTTTATCACCCGGTGTTGGTAACAATGGCTAACCTTGCTAGCTGTTTACAATGGCTGGCCAAGCCGGTTTTCCGACTTTCCACTGGAACGTGGTCAACTTGGTCGTGACGTCATTCCCAGCTCCGTCCTCCTAGGTAAACGGAATGCGCCACATGTTGACGCTAAACTCATGGCATGGTCACATGTAACTTCTTTTCAGCCATTGTTCATGAGCGAAACACTTTGGTAGTTGCTAGACTTTGCTACACGTGCTTCACACAGGAATTTTATTTTTTAACCCCTGGGGTATGGGGTGTTGGCCTGCCCCCACTAAACCTAGAGGAAACAGTGAAAGCATTTTAAAATGAAAAATGATTAAGCTACCTGGATATAAAATGTGTGTCATATATACACAAGATCCATATCTGATATCTCTTTAGTTTATTACTTTGTCATTTTGTTAAAAACAAACAAACAGGCAATTAAAGCGAGTCTATGTAACAGCAACCACTGTGGCAATTATTGGAAAAGAATAAATGCTGAAACATTCACTATACTGCAAAAGGTTTGTGGACACACATGGGCCCTTAGTTCCAGTTAAGAGATGCAAGATCATAGGCATAGGAACCTCCATCAGAACTTTTTCAACAATCCCACCGTTGTGCTCATCCTATCAAATCAAACTGCCTTTCTTTCCATAAAATATTGCCCATTGGTTTACACACCAATTTGAGCCACACTGACCTGCTTCAACAGGAAATAATAAGGCAATTTCATCTGAACTTTAAGGGAAATCTTTATGCTCCAGCTTAATGCTACAACACACAATATTTGAGACAACGAGGAGGGAGGGGTCGCGGCAAAAACTACAGTGTATTCATTTGAGTAAGAGTGAGTTTTACTGATTATGAATTGAACTTTTCATCTTTGAGAGAATTGAACGCGGTTTCTTTTTTGAGAAATTACAGTCTTGCTTTAAAGTACAATTATAAAGCAGGCCCTTGTCTTAAAGCAGTCCTTAATGCTGTCAAGGGTTTCTTAGCCGAACTGCTTTAAGTGTACACTGTGCAGCTGCATTATGTAGGATTGTATGAATATCACTTGATGATCGTCAGCATATATGCGACATCAAGTCACTGATTAGGGCAAAAATACAGTACAAAATTCACAACATTCTTGGAAAGAAGCTGAAGGAAATAACTAGCAGGTGAGTTTTACCTCTGAAGCTCTGTCGTTGGCGTCTTTGGAGAGGTACTCCACCAGGCCACAGGTGGGTATGCTGGTGTTCTGAGCAATCCAGGTGTTGAGGTACACCACCCCCAGCACCTTCTTCATGTTCTCTCTCATCAGGTGGGTCTCTACAGCATTGATCCAAGCCTGCACCTCCTCCAGCTGCTCCTCCTTCTCCTGTTTCACCCCACCAGGCTCGCCTTCCTCTTGTGCTGCACCTTCGTCCGTTCCGTTCTCCTCTTCCTCGTCTCTTACAAACACCTTGCGCTCCTCGTGTGAAGGTTTCCATCGGTGATCTGTGGGAGGCGTCTGTAGCGACTGGTAAAGCATACGCACCAGAAAGAGCTTGAAACGCCACAAGTAGGGCGAGTCTACTTCCTGGATCTTTTGATCGAGCTCTTCCAGCAGCGACGCAGGGATGCACTTGTTTTTCAAAACTTGCCACCTCACGAGATCAAGCAGGTCGGCCATTTTATACAGGTTCTGCGTGGGGGACTTTAGCAGTAGTGTCGCCGCCATTTCTGGCGTTTTGAGGGTCACAAAGTGAACCTGGTAGGTCCTGTGAATTGGATGATGGCCGCCAACCATACCTTGCGTGCTGACAAGCGCAATATATGCTCCGTTGTGGCTCACGGCGATCCCGTGTATCCTCCTCCCCGTTAGGTTTTCAGGTCGCAACATGTCCTCTTGTTTGAAAATCAGAGTGTTCTCTGTAAATGTTGGTGTCAGCTTTTTTATCCATCCGTCTATGGAACACGTGTACACTGCAACGCCATGCTGACTAACCGCTAGCGAGACCACAGGGAGGGAGTGCAGTCCTGCCACGTGAGAGTTGTGTACATTTAGTCCGGCAGGCGAAATCATGAGCAAACACCAAAAGACGTAGCAGCCGCGCGAGGCCACGATGAGGCTGCAGCTGGATTTTTGGATCGGGTGAATCATCGGGACACATTTGAGGTTTTCGACGGCGATTTCGTCACACTCCTTCCAGAGGATGACGGGGTGACGGAGGGTGAAGTAGCCCTTCACTCCCGACAGGCTGACCGGCATGATCTTGACGGGTCCCACTTCACTGCCGACGATCAGCCCGCTCATCCGGCGATCTGCGCTTTCATACTCCCACCACGCCAAGTCACTGGGTCTAGTCACACCCGATTCGACGATATCATAAAAGACGACATCTGCCCCGTTTACAAAGGGCAACACAAACTTCCACAAAACAAGGTCGCCGTTTTCCATTAAGACGGCGAGGAGGACCATCTCCACGTCTACACATGTGTTGTCCGGCTGCACCTGTTTGATCGTGTAAACGCTCGACCACTCCATTCTCAGAGGAGTCTGCATACGGAAACGCCGCTGCAGCTCGTCTAAGTCCAGCAGGTTTGCCTGCGGAGGCTTGTTGTCTTTTTTGGCGTAGCCTCGCTCCTTTAGCCTCTCACTGTACTTTTTGGTGAGATCGACTAGCATATTCCACTCGAGACGCTTGTGGCTGTTATGTATGGTAAGTCTGTGGTCAAGTGTTAGGCAAGCGAGCAGACAGCGCCCGCTTGAGTCACAACCTAACGGAGACCAACTGCCATATTTGATTCCTTTGTGCGGTCCTATCGATGGGTTGATCGCTCTGTCGGCCAGAAAAACTTGCCTCACTGTGGGGTCTGGATGTGTAGAGAACTTCTCCATCGCTTGAGCTAGCTCTGCTGCCGGTCCCACCTTAAAAAGTTAAAAACACAAATGAAAAGCAAATTTAAGGTTAAAAGTCAGGTTTAAGAGTCATTTCAGCATACATCCAATGAAACAATATTCCCACCTGAACTGTTACTATATTTGATAGTAGTAAAAGCCAATGCTAACACAAAAATCATTTAACACTGGAAAATCCCAAAACACTAAAGAACACTGAATTTAAGAGCTACATTAACTACTGAGAAATCAAAGCAATATCTCTGAGTTCCACGACTAAAAGTCAACTTTGGATTATACTGACCGAAACCCACAGGCATTAGTTTGGTGCTTGACAAAACAAACTACTGGGCTATAAATTTACCGAAAGTACATCATGTACAGGAAAAGTGATACTACTCACAATGGTTAAAATCTAAAAGCAGAATGCTTTAAAAAAAAACAAACACATTCAGTCAAAAGGATCACCTGACATGGCTGATGCAACAGTATCAAGTTGTGTTTTGAGTGCCAGTGTCTACTGCTCCCTGCTCACCAGCCCTCTGATTTACAAGCAGTTAATCACATCTATAAATGACAGCAGGAAACCACCGTTGTCTGTCTGCCACTGCGCCTAGTGGATTATACACTTCTGCTCCATCCAGTGTTTTATCTGCCAAGTGGATTTTTGGAGTGGAGATGAACCTATAAACAATCATGTTTACACACAAGAGCAGCTGCGCAGAGACAGATTCATCACGGCAAAATTGTTTTTCAGTTTCTCTTTTCATCAACATTTGTATTCCATCACTTTAATCGTCTTTCTTTCAGTTCGGTAAATAATGAAAATACAGAGACATCCACCACTGCCAAACTAATAGCTCACAAGTGAATATTAGCTTGGCTGCGTTTCTAAGGCTTGTTTACACAAGTTGCTTAACAAGCAGACAAATGGTAGCACTACTGCAATGGACTCACAGATGTTCTTTAGACACATATCACATATTTAGACTTGGGCACTAACACTTGTATTACATATAACCAGTGTGTATTGCCACTTTTGTTGCCATTCTTTTATTCTGTTCACTTTTTAAGGTTTAAAAAAAAACAACCTTCTGATAGATCCTTCTGATAAATCTTATGCCCCAGGACGGTTCACTCATTACTTACGATCATAAGCTTCACTTTTCCATAATAGCTGAAGATTAGGCAGCCATATGCCCCAAATATTAAGTCTCCCTTTTTGTCACTAAACTTGGATGTTTGACCTTCATTATAAGGAACAACGTATATGCTGAGTTTATGAGTTTAACACCAAAAGGCTGTAATGAATGTAAACATAAATTTGGGGTAACGTGCATTGACAAGCCTGAATTTGTGACATTACAGTATGATGTGGAAACTTGAAGCCTCCAGTGCACATACAGTGCAAAAATGTACTGACATACAACTTTTAAAATTAGGAAAATATTACTGCATATTCATAAATTCTGGGTTTTTAAATGAGGATAAAGGAGTGTGTGTAATTTTAACAATTTTGAACCAGTTGTAAATATTTATATAGCAAACCACAAATCCTCATTCAAAGCGGAGTGTCAGCATATATGTCTTAAAACATATCTGGAGGGAATCTTAAAAGGTTTTCATTTCATCGGCGGATATGTTGTCTTAAAACCTGTTTAAGAGTCTACAGTAATTAATTTGCTGTGTTTGATATAATGTCAAAATTACAGTTTACATCTAAACAAAACCTGTTCCCCTTGCAGCAATCATCAATTTTACATCCCAGTAATCATACTTTCAAGATCCCAGGTAGAGTTAAAATGAAAAACATAGAGGCTGAGTGATACTGACAACATTACAGAAGAAACAATCATAATGTGAATATGTTCAACAGGTGGAGGCATATTCATGTCAGCTGTAACAGTCTAATAAAATATTCTGTTTCTGCAGAGTTTGACATTCATCTGATAGGCTGCTTAAATTCTGATGTGATTCTGATGAACTGCCGAAACAATTGATTCCCATTACTGACATCTCACTGCCTGCAAGACAGCTCAGATTTTAAAAGGAGTGACTGTGGCCAGTTCCTGAATAGCAGGGGCTTACTTGCGTGTGAAATTTGTGGTCAACTCCCCTTATTTCTTCTCTGCAAGATGGAGAGCTACGCTGGGCTAACGTTAGTTAGTTATTACTGCTTCCAAATACAATTATAGCATGTACATAGTCTTTGTCAGGGGTTAATATGAACGCGGTCAACCACTTGACTGCACGGACTTTCAACACCCAACCAGCGCCAGGTTGAGCCATCACCTGTCGCTGTGTTTACCAGCTGATGTTCTGTTCACAGCCGCACATGCTAAGCTAACGATAAGCGCTACCCGGGTGCCTTTTGTTATTATTAGTGTCACCATGTGGACAAAACAGATGAACATTTTGGGGGCATTTACCCGCAGCGTGTACGCTTCGGTCGGGACGGGAATAGAGGTCCTGTGCAGCGTCAGGTCCTGTTTGTTGCTGTGGACATCGCACACCAGCTCCATCAGCGACATGGAGCTGGTGGTGCACACAGCCAGGCGGTGATCCTGCGACCAGGCGAGCGGATGGAGCCCGCTGACCGGGGCCATGAGCGGGACGACGGGGTCCCGCTTAACCGGCACATCCTCCGGGCCGAAGAGTAGACCATCCTCAGATCCTGGCTCGGTCTTGACGACTACGTTTATGGGCAGTGAAGCAGCCGATTCTGACTCACTGGCCGCCGCCATGTTTCGTGTGCGGCGGAAGTGACATCGACGAGCGCGGGAGGAAGGAGGGACTTCCTCCTGCGGAGTTAAATAGTGCACTGCACATGTCAGCAGCGTCAACTGTTTACATCTGTCAAGTCGGTCAAGCCTTTTAACGCTGTCTCTCTCACACACACACACACACATATATAGATATACATATATTAGGGTGCCACTCAATGTAATGGAAAAAATCTTTAAAAACTTTTTCCATGTGCCACCCCCTCGTTGTGTTCCTTTTAGGATGCACACTGCCAGTGAAAGGTTTCATTCAGATATAATAATACTATAACATGTACTATAATCAAGATAAAATGTCATTTAATTCAAAATTTCTCTACCAAAGTAAATTAATCCTTGAGTAAGTATTGTTATCATTTAACTGTTCTTTTTCATATTCTAATTTGTGGTATTATTTGGTTTAAATACTATGTAATCAGAATAATATTTTTGGGTTAGCACTATAGCAGACGTAGTCAATAGTATATTTAACTCTGTCCAGGATTGCGAGGGGGCTGGAGCCAATCCCAGCTGTCATTGTGTGATCCCTGGACAAATCGCTAGATCATCACAGGGCTAACTCATAGAGACAAACAATTCACGTATACGTTCACACCTAAGGGCAATTAAGAGTCACCAATAAACATATGCAGGTCTTTGGAGGGTGGGAGGAAGCAGGAGAACATAAAGAGAACCCACTCAGACACAGGGAGAACATGCAAAGTCCACAAAGAAAGGCCTGGACCTCGATCCACGGACCTTCTTGCTGCGAGGCCACAGTGCTAACCACTGCACCACCATGTCGCATCTGTGTGTCATGTTAAACTTAATTATTCTCATTTATAGCACCACCTACCAGTTATTTTCTGGTACGGTAAAGATAGTCACTTCAAGAGAGTTCACTTAACGAGGTGGCCTCTTCTGAAGCTTTTATTTCTTGGAGCACAGCGTTAAGGCTCCCAGAGCTTTCGACCAGGCTCGGTGATCTACAGTCTGAACATTTTCCTGATTCCGAAACTGTCATATATGGTAAATGGTCTGTATTTGTATAGTGCCTTTCTAGCCTTTTCGACCACTCACAGTGCTTTACACTACATCATATTCACCCACCCACCTCTCACACCAAAGGCCTGTGTCTTATCCATTGCGCTACCCATCAGCGTCGCCAGGTCATTTTTCGTGTTTCATGTTTTGACTGTAGCCCCGAATAGAGAGCCTAAGTCACTCACCTCCGCTTCTGGCTCATGGGACCTTATTTCGGAAACAATATGTACGGTAGTCAATGGCGAGAGACAACTTATTTTTTTATCCCGTTAGAGTTGAACCTTGAGTTACACATATGATGTTAGTCAATTTAAAATTTTGTAAGTCAAAAAAGTCGCAGTTTGTCGTAAAACAGTAAAGCTACATGTCGTTTTGTGTGAATACCGTTCAACGAACAACATCTTGTCTCGCACAATATACGCCACATGTTAGCGCGGTAATGTTAGCTAACGTTCATTGCTTGGTTGCTACTAGCTGGATTACTTAGCTGTGTTCCACGCAGAAACATATCTCACCTGATGTGTTTGATCCAACGACTCTCAGTCCTTTTATCACATCATCCTCTCATGTCCCTTCCAGTTAGTGGAGGACCACTCACTTATGCCCCTTGATCACTTCTGTAATTAAGGTCTATCTGGTTTGCATGTGCATGTGTTTCGTCCTATTCATAGAAATCTGCAGCTACTCTGTGAGCTGAAAACACATGTAGCTGTTGCTAAAGCTGCAATATAGTCATTCTCTGGACACCTGTGGATACTTAATTGTTCAATATTAACTTGTGAAGTAACTGCAGCCATTTGTCTTCTTTTTGACAATTTTTGCATTATTCTAACCTGTGATATTAAAGTTAATATTACTAATATTAATTAATATTATTAAAATCGGAAAATGTTGAAATTATTTTGTCAGTGTTTACCAGTAATATTTGAGTGGTCACCACATAATGTTATATTTTTGAGTGGCACCCTAATATATATATATATATATATATATATGTTAGTCTTTTAGACTGGACTTACTTTTAGCTAGGCATACCAAATACATTGTCAACTGACTGCTGAGTGTTTGTTTTTGAGTATCATATTTTGTGACATTGTGTGCCTATTCTAAGTCATTTTGCTGCTGGAAAGGGGACTAAAAGGGACCTAAGATAGGTGGACTCACTGTTGCAAAGCAAATATTACAGTGGGGACCATGACAATTTCATACCAGAACAATACATTTCATTAAACTCACACAATGGAGCACATATATCCACAGAATCTCTTCAGTGACTGTAAGAACCCCAGTATGAAACCATTAAGAAAGTTTAAGTCTTAGAAATTGCTAAATAAAATGGTCTCATCTCTTACTGGTCTAATATTCATATTTTTATGACTGTGTTATAGATGGAGTATTAATAATACATGCTAGTGTTTTTCAGTCCATTCCAAGAGAAATCTTTGGGGTCACAAAAGCCTACAAACAAAACCTTTCAGACCATGAAATCTTCTTTAAATGAAACTATCTGAGAACAGAAAATCACTCTCTGGCTGAGCTGCTGCTGTCCTTTCAAAAGGACATTATTTTAAGTGGGTTAAAGCGAAAGAGGTGGCAACCACTGATTTAGTCCATATTGTAGTTTAACATACGTCACATTCATCCAAATTAATTCCTAAAATAAAAGGTAGGTGTGATCCTCAATAATGACATTACAGTGATCATGTCTATATTCTATACCTCTTATTCTGTTCAGCTGGAGCCAGTTTATATGCCTTACTGTTTAGCTCGTGCATTATTAAGATAACAAGCATTTTAATCGTCTCAGCCTTTATACTGAGCAACAAACTAGAAACATGCTGTCTGAGAGCAGAGGTTCAGCTCATTTCCATGTGAGGAGCAGATAAACGTGTGTTGGATGACTGCTCCTGCTTCATAAGTAAAGAGAGGTGTAGGTGTGATAATGTGAACATGCAAAAAAGGTGTATCATTTCTATTTAAAAGGTGATTGTTGCAGTTTTTGAGCTTTAACCCTCTGTAGCTATCAGAACAGCTAGCATTGGATCAAATGTAGAAAATACCATCTCGGATCTCTGAAATGTTGTCCTTTCACTTCACTTGAGTCATTACCCCCTGACAGACTGTCAGCATGCAAAGTAATCACAATTGATAATGTTGCTGATACATTAATGAATGGTGTAATTACCCATACACATATTAACAATTCATATATTTTACATTTTGTATACTTTTTTTATTCAAATGGCTTTGTAGGCTTCAGCCTCCAACCTTTTTTGAATTAGAGAATATGATGCTTGATATTGTTTTATTTTTGATGTAATGATTTAGTATTATTTAACCACTTTCACAACTGTATGGTCAGTTTGTTACTGTATATAATTGATAAAATATAAAACATAATCTAGCTAACTCAGCTTAGTTACAACTATAGATGGGGAAAAACATAGTAAAGGAAAATTAATTATTTTTAAAAACTGAATGTGATTTGAAAACACTTACAGGGTAGTGGGTTGTTTGTAGAGAGTGAACATTCGTATAACTGTGCCATCATTGGAATATTTGTCTCCATATACTTCTTTCTTAATGTAATTATTAAACTGTGTTTTCTGTACCATGTTTGCATATATATATCTGGTGACTAACAAATGAATCTGAAACATAAACCACCAATACCTTTGTAATCAAACTTAACCACAGTGACATACCTTGCAGCTCCTTGTTTTAATTAGATTAGATTAGATGAAACTTTAATGATGTCCATGGGGACATTTTTTGATGTATGTGACACAAGCACTCAGAGAGGTCTGTGTTGAAACGCCACTGACAGTCAACAATGACACATTCACCAGTCTGAGCGTGGAAAAAAGAATGAGCCCTGTCTGTGACAGGGACAACATCAGTCATTTCATCTGTCAGGGAGCGGTCACTCATCACCAAGAGAGATCATTAATTGTCATATTCCATCGCTAATTAATAAAAATATGAAAATTGTCCCATCTGCAGTTGATGGCTCAAATATATATCAACATGCTTTATGCGATGAGTCACCGGACACTCCTGGACTGGTCAAAGGTCAAACTGCTGCAGTTGGATTTGGAGCTGGAGGTTCCCAGGCAGACAGTGATTTGTTACAGCCCTCACATGAAAGCTCCTCTCACAGTAGCTGCCTGACTCTCAGCAAGATGACAGCGGGATTTCAACAGGCAGAGTTATTTGTCACAAAACAAATTGTTACAAATCTGTGAGACAAATACAGAATAGCACGCCGACCATGTTTTAATCTCTCATTTTTCTGTCTTTTGTTTCGATAATCGAAATGAATAAATGAACGGGGACCATGGTATGTTTCATTCTTAATGAAGCGTGTAGTGAATGAATATTTCACACACCTGCTGTGCGTCTTTGGTGGGTTTTGACTGGGGACCCAATCCCAGCCCGGGATGTATGAATGTTGGATTAAACATTCATCAAATGCTGTCACAAAAACTTTATTGTCTCCTGTCAACCACACATAAAGACGGAAACAGGCCCCTGTGCAGGCCATGACTTCAACCTCAGCCTTTGGTTTACCTATTGTGTGCTGGGGGAATTATTTAGGTTGCACTGGATTCATGTTGTGGGTATATAGGTTATGTAGTGTGGGTTTATGAATATGGCTGGGGTCAGCTCAGGTCAATCCCGTATATCTCTAACATCCACCTGCTGTGTTGTTATTGCCTGCAGTTTCCTCCTCAGCCTTTCAACCCTCAGTAGACCACATCCTCTGCTGTTTGCTCACTCCGAGTGTCACCGGAGCTGCTTACACGTATCTTGTGAGGAAGCCCATAGGGACGTTTTGATGCATGGTTCATCATACATGTTTTAATCATTCAGTCTCTCAGACACCTCCCGGGAGGGGGCTGCTGCAGAACATTACCGAGTACACACAATTAGTGATA